TTTCTCAGCTTCCCTCAGCTTCCCTCAGCTGTGCAATGCAATCTGCTAGCGCCAATCCTTGGAAAGGAAGATGAGCCTGTGTCCAGCTTTGCAGAGGACGTCCTCTGTTTGAAGGGCTGTCCAGTCCAAGTCTGTTTTAAAGGGTCAGTATCACAAGAAAGAGGGGGTCTTGAAATTGCTTGTCAGTGAAAGTTTGCATCTGGCTAGCAAACTGAACAGTCACATTGCAGGGGAAATGTACCTAAATTAACAGTTATCGATTTCCATAGCTTTTGCTTAAAAGTACAAGACTATTCCTGCAGGAAGCACACCTAAGAAATCCTGCATCTTCTTCTCTTACCACTGCAGTCCTGTTTACTTCCTGCATGAAGCAGTGAGGAAAGGAAATGCTTTCAAGAGTAAATGCTGAACTGGTTATAACCCATAATTTTTCTTCCATTTGACAGGAGGAAATAAATAGTAGGTCTGTCTGTTTTTATTTGCTGAACAAAGTTTACATGTTACTAATATGCAGTCCTACTCTGAAGGAAGTTCATGCCATGTACATTGCTAGAATGTGTTCAAATGTACAACACAAGAATGATGGGAGTGCAACCCATGCAATATAGATGGAACAGAACTCAAGGGAAAATAACTTTAAGGGTATTTACTGCTGGACTTGCATTTTATTTGTTACTCTGTATATCTATCTGAGTAAGACTTTTTGTTGCTTTAAGCAGCCTTGGTTGGATCGGTGGGTTCCAGTAGTAGTTAGGAAAGTATTTTTTTATTCTTAGTTGCCTTTGGTCTATTGATACCAACCTAAATGCTGAAAGAACTCTTAGGATTATGCTTTAATAAATTTCACTTACAGCCTTGAATGGAAACTATACATGCCTCTGATCATTTCAGATTAGAAAAGGGCCCAAATTGCCTTTGAAATTCATCACCAAATAGATGGAAAGAGAAACTGGGTGGACAATTTGTTCAAGGGAAGGAAAAATTGTCCAAATGTTTCCCAAGATGAGATTCTCTCTTAGCAATGATAGTAGCTTGACTATGGAGAAAAAAAAATCCCCCAAACAAAAACAAACAGTGGGAACAAGTCCCTCATGATGTCTTCCCTTGGGATTTAACTGAAGCATGGAAACCAAGGAGAAATGATTGGTTGATGAGATTCTCTTGAAATTTAATTGGAACATGGGAAGCATGAAAGAAATGAAAGTTCAGTGAAGGAAAAGATATTCACACTCACCCCTTGGCCATATTGTACCTAAATAAGAACAAGAATGTTATACTTTGCCTATGGATTTTTTCCCAAAACCACTTTCCCTTTGAAAGAATTTCTAATGCCAATTTAATTGCATCAGATGGAATGGAAACTGATAGAAGGAAATAAAAGACATTCCCTTCACCCAGCACCATTTTCAATATTGAACTTTGAATGGAGGCCCCTTTATGTGTGGGGCCTGGGGCAATTGCCCTATTGCTTCCTCTCTGAAAAGACTTTTGCCTTTGATCAGACCCAGCAGGCTTTTCATACATTCTTATGTGTGTGTGTGTGTGTGCCAATAAATGTAAACCATCATTTACAGATACTAAGGGATAAGCAAAATGTTCGGACAACTAGCATTTTTGTCAGTTTCTTATTGTACATGAATTTTTTTATTTGACCATTGGAAATGCGGGTGAAACAGATCATTTGTCAAAATGGTGAGGGTACAGGAATCCTTGCTGGATGTAAGCACAGTAGTGTGAAGAAGATTCTTTCCCCATCCACTTCTGAAAAAGGAGTTGGGTTACTGTGCCACGTAAGTGATCCCTTCCAAGTTGAAACATAGGGCAGAAGAGAAGTTCCATTTCTAAGTGCTGACGGGAGTTGTCCCATAGGTGCCATCACCTATGTATAAAAAGAACCCAAAGTTTAGCCAAATAGTGGTTCCCTTGGCAAAATGGTGGGAAGGATAGCTTTTCTGACACTCTAAATGGAGCCTCTGTGCAGACTTGCTGCTTCCTTTTCCTCACAGCTGATTTCAGATCACAACAACTGTTGCCATTTGGACAGGAATAATGAATGAGCTAAGTGTAGGTTACTGGCTTCTGAGCCGCCAAGGGCAGGAAGGCCTGTCTGTTTCACTCTCTGCCTAACCCACTGAGGCATTTCACTTCCCAAGTCAATAGTGATCCTGTAATGCTAACAAAAGGCCCCCATTGATCACTGCCCTTTGGTAATTACAGCCAGCATGAGGTTGTCCCTCACAGCCGGTTGACATCTTTTGACAATTTAAAAAATGCAAACTCTCAAAGAAACAGACACACAGAGCTCTTAGTAATAAAAATTGCTTGTGAATGTCAAGACAAATCAAATCTTTCCAGCAAGGTACCTAAGGACTTTCAAATCATGACATATTTTAAAACCATAAACTTTGCTGACTCCTAATCAACCATAAAGCTGTTCCCTTAGAGGCTGAAAGCAGTTCCCAAAAGCTACTGGCTGAATCTCTCAAATCCTCAACAGCAAACTGGCAGCACCAGGCAAGTGTCTTCCCTCCTGCCCTCTGTTCGTTCACTGGACAGGCTAATGGGGTGGGGGTGGGGGTCATAAAAAATACCATGTTCCCATCCTCATTCTGCCCTTGCCACATTTGATTTTCTCAGTGAGAAAAAGAAAAAAGAAAAGGAAAATTCAAATGGCCACCATGCAGAAGAGTGTCAAAGCCTCCATTCAGAGCAACTGGGGCAGATGAGAAGATGGTGGCAGAGTGACACACATCGTGGTTGCTAAATCCCAAGAGCCAGGAGGTGGTATGAAGCATGAGTTCTTGCCAATGAGAATGGATTTGTCTACCAGCTCCAGAAACTCTCTTTGCAATGTTTCCTCGTGAGCAGGAACTGAACTGATAATTAATCACCTCAATCTCCTAAGACCCACACAGGTCCCTGACTGTGTTGCGGAGACACCAGGGGTGGGCCGGGACAGGGATAGGCAATACTGATTTCAGAGCCATGCAGCGCTTGAGAGTGGAAGACCTGACTTTAATGTTGATTTCCCCTCACTTGCAAAATTAGATTAGCCTAAAACGGGATGGGGGGCGGGGGGAGAAACACAAAAAGTCACGTTCCTGTTCCTTTGTTTAAAGAAATATATTTGTTTTGGACAGCTGTTCTGAAACCAGCAACCTTTCATCGTTCACCTGGTCCGGATCAAGCAACTTGCAGCAGCCACTCTAAGTTCAATTTTTGAGCTTTCAGACGAAACAACAGATCCAAAGCCAGCAACCAATGCTTTCAGGTAGGTGTTGGGGCTAGAGTATGCAACAGAACTCATTGATGTTGGGCTATCCATCACCCCCACATAGTTTTACTTAACTACTTGCAGTTGTGAGTTGCCATTTAAAATCCTCCCTTTTCAGTGTTTTTGGCATTTGGGAGGATTTGGGAATGGGTAAAAGCAGCAGTTCCTTTACATCGCTGCATGTTTTACCAAGCCCATTGTGCTCTTCTTTTGGGAAGTGGGGAAAGGAGAACAGAACATAATTGTGATACTGAATTTCAGTAGTATGACCCAGGAGCTGCTAAATAGGTACAGAGGCTGGAGGTAACCAGCAGGCCGTCCCTGGCTTATGCCACCTACCTATATGAACTCTGAGAATAATTTTTGGATTAATATGAGGTGGCTTGCCTTGCCACTGAAATGTCCCATACGGTTCTGACTTTGGCAGCTCGCTGCCTCAATGGTTGGCACTGCTTGTAACTCTTTCCCTTTTTCATGAGAAACAGGGCAGATGTTAGTAGTGTGTCCCCTCAGGGTCTTGAGCCCCTACAGTTGTCTGGGGATGCTGTATATGGACCAGTGTTTCTCAACCTCAGCAACTTTAAGATGTGTGGACTTCAACTCCCAGAGTTGAACTTCAACTCCCCAGGCTGGGGAATTCTGGGGGTTGAAGTCCACACATCTTAAAGTTGCTGAGGTTGAGAAACACTGATATAGACACTGTAACTTAAAATGCTGCTTCATGTTCGTTATGAGCTGCCCAGCCCTGTTAATAGGGTAGCTGTAATTGTAGACAGTAGTTTAGTATTTATTAATACTTTATTAATACTTTGCCAAATCTGTTTTCAGTTTCCCAGTTTTCTTCCTCTGTTAAAGGGGTTTGTGTTTTTCAAAACTTTAACTCTCCATGTTTTGGAATTTATTTTGGGAACATGTTTACTGTTGCAAGGTGGATGAGGCTGATTTTTTCCCCCCTTTTATCTTTTTCAGCCAATGGCATTGCTGGCTGCCCCCAAGTACTAATCAGCAAAGGAGGAATTTTCTCTTGTCCTTTCTTTGGATTTCAATTAAGCAGGGAGGTTTTCAGCTCAGCTGTAGGCTAGGGTTTCCCAAGGTTGACAGCTTCCAGATGCTAGGATTTCAATTCCCAGAATTCCCCAGCCAGCATGCCATTGCTGAGAATTCCAGGAACTGAAGCTCACAGACCTGGATGTGGCCAAGGTTGTGAAACACTGTTTTAGATCATTGGTGAGATGATTACCCAATAAAATATAGGATATTGAAACATATTCCACATCACCTTTAACTGAGGGAGGTTGGGTTCCATCCATGATAATCACTTCAAAGTTTTCCTATGCTTTGAAACAGCAAAACAAACAAAAGAAAGAATGTAATTTCTTTTCCATCTCTGGTACAATATTTGTAGTTACCTTATTGGCTAACATATGGTAAGATTCTATACATGGGTGCAGATTTCAGTATGCTTTAATCCAGTGTTTCTCAACCTTGGCAACTTTAAGATGTGTGGACTTCAACTCCCAGAATTCCAGAGCCAGCCATAGGGTCCAGTCTATGCGATATCCATGCTAGTGCTGTTCCACATATGTGCTCAACTGTGGTATGGTTTCTATTTCATTTCATTGTCAGTTTTCACATAAATGAGAGACAAGTTGAAGCTTTTTTCCTGAAATGCATTGTAGTCAATTCTTTTGGTAATAAATTTGATTACAGCTTTAGGGAGCTGGCCTTTGAAATGCTGAGTGTCAAATGAAGCCACATCTGGTCTACAGAACATTTCTCTCAAGGTATCTTTCTTTTCAACCTGCAGCTTCAACCTTTCAAACATACCGATTTATTTACTACTTGAAAGGAACACTTTGATATGTGCACTGTACTGTGTGTAGGCAGGTGAAACAAGTGAACTGAGAATGCAAGCTTTAAATGGGTAGATTAATCGGTTAAAGATTCAGCTGATTAATTGGCAGGAGGCTACAGTCTATTTTCAGTGGTGATTCTAAGAATTAAAAGCATGGAGGAGACTATTTTTCTCCCTGGGAAGTTGTGGAAATAAAATATTAAGATGCATTTTGGTTTGACAATGGAAAGCTTTTCTTCATGAAAGTCATTCCTTCAGTTGTTCCAAAATGCTCATTAATGTTGCAATCCTATATATTTAACTTGGGGTAAGTCCCAATAAATTCATTTGCTTACTAGTGAGCAAATGCACACAGGATTGCACTGCTGCTAAGATTTTGATAATACATAGTTTATGTACTTGCTGTTTTGCTAATCAAACCATAAAATTTGTGCCTTTCTGTGGGGCCCAAAGAATGTGCACATTCAGTAGTAGCATATATCTTAAAAATGAAATGGTATCTTAGAAAGTATAATAATAATTCTGATCCAGTATTGAACATATAACTTCAAATTCTGTTCCACCATATTCAGCTTGTACTTGAATGTATTCTTCATTCATTAGCCTGCCTGGAGAAAGTTCTGCAGGACTTCATGTCAATTAATATTTGGTGAAAACCACCAGTAGAATTGATGCTTATTTTATTTTACTTTTATTTTACTTTTAATTTAAGGCATTTTGATCTGCTTTTCAGTTTTAAAAATGCCCAGGATGGCTTGCAGATTAAAAAAAAAAGTCAAAATAGAACTTCAACAGTTAAATGACTCAAAGGCAGAATAAAACTGAATGTAAACTCTAGTAAGCAGAAACAAAATTCCCTGTAACAATCATTACAAGCTTGGAAAAGGCAAAACCTTTTTCTTGACACCTCAGACTCGGTCAATTTGAAGCAAGACAGATGGCCCTAGGGAGAAAATTCTGTAATGGGACCATCATCACAGAAATCCTCACCATCACCGATTCACCATCTGCCTAATCTCAAGAGAATACTGACCACAACAGATTTCACACACACACACCGAGGCTGTGAAAATATGCTTAAAAGCGATTGAGCAGTATATATATTTCCCTGTGTATATTGCAGATGGTGCTTTGTGTCAGTTTTAGAAGACGAGAGTGTTTACGCACATCTACTTGGGAGACCGAGGGCACAAAGGTATTTATTGTCGCTGATTGTGGAAGGAGAGAGGTATCTTTGACATTGGCAGCAGGTGGTTTATATCATGATGACACACATTCTTGGTGCAAGGCTGGCTGCAGATGATATATTAACATTTTATACTGCTGTTGAATTGCTACTTTAAAAGCCTGTGTATTAATGTCTGCTGGTGGAATGTCTTGTCAAGGCACTTGTGGGAAGCAGGGAGTCAGTAAAAGCACGCAAAGAAGAGTCAAGCATGGTCCTGGAGCTTGATCATAGACAATTGCTTTCTAGTGCACATTTCAAAATTATGGTACAGAGGTTAAACTATGGAGATCTAGGTTCCAAGTCCCCATCTGGCTGCAACCCTTTGATCAGTTACCCCTTATCTTTTAGTCTTCCTTACAGAATTCTTAAGGGTAAAAAAAAAGGATTAAGACAAGGTTGGGCATGAAGAGAAATCTGGCTTCCATTCAATTGGCTTTTTTGCTACCCCAAAACAGCAGCTTAGAGGGCAGAGTCAATTAGTCCAAAAGATAGGGAATTATCTGTGTATATGGATATAACAGAGCAGTCTTCTACACCTCTACTACTCTATCGAACCCAGCAGGATTTGCTCTCTAGAAGAAAATTGTGTCATCAGCATCCCTTTAGAGCTGGGAAGGCATCCTGCAACACCATACATGGGTTTCATTTTTTTTTCTCTTTCAAATACTGGAGCCATCTCTGATGCACCATAGACTTCTGTTTCTGAGAAAAGGTCTAAAATAGGTTTAATACAGTTTTCAAAGCAGAAAAACTGCTAATATATTTTTAGAAATCATGCCTATGTCCACTTGCGCTATGCAGCCCAAGTTATATTTTACCATTGTCCTACACTGTGGCCCACTGTTCCCACCCCCCAATTACTGCTATAGTACATGGTCTGCTTGCTGTCCAACCTTGTATGCCACCCAAGCGTTTTGAAAGAAGGCAGAGCTAATTTTTAAAAAATACATTATGTCAGAGTTGAGACAATAATGGGAAATAATGTTCTTTGAGTTAATGGAGCTTGAGATTGCCCTGGAACTCAGATCTGAGTTCTTTAACAACTTTAGTCATGATTAAAATGAAACAGTAAATGCTACTTCAAACTGAGCTCAGCTCCTCATGACTACATGGACATATCTGTTTAGCTTTCCTGGGAACAATACAGAAATTGTTATTGTCTTCTTCTGGGATTTATTTATTTAACTTTTTAGACTAGTCTACATCCCTGGTATTTCTCTGTGGTCCTTCATCCAAGTACTTCCTATGTTTGACCCACTTAGCTTTTTTCAAGATCATCCAAGGTCATCCAGGTCTTGCTACCTGCTATAGGTCCACTCCTGTGTAGAGTAAAGCATTTATTTCCAATTTCCACTGGCTTCTCTGACTAGATGGCACCGCTCAGGCTTTTTAGGATTATAGTAAATATACCAGTACGATGGCTATTATTTCGGATTGCTGAGTGCTCTCCATATTTCTGTCTTGCTTCTGTAACTTGATGGCAGGAGCAGACCCCTGGAGGGACATATATCCAAGCAAGAATGAGGGTCTCCACTTCGCCAATCCAGACTCAGAGGTGCCAGTTCAATTCTGTGACAGTGGAGAATTGACACAGCTTCTGATTTATGTTTTGGGTATTTCTTAAAAACTTGATTTATTTTATCTCTCAGTTTCATTTCCTGCATTAATGAGTGTGGAGAGCTTTAATTTCTAAACCAGCAGGGCTTCCACGCTGATTTGCTCCATGCTTTTGCAGCTTTCTACTGATTGCTACACTATAAATCTTTGAATTAACTAGGGGGTTTATTGTTATGGTTATTATTGCACAAGTGCACTACATTTGGAATGGCTGTAAACTGATTTGCCCATGACCGTGTAGGCACACTAGATCTGAGACACACCCAGCTTTGTGGAAGGGCAGCAGGCAGGCAGTTCTTGTTGATTCTACAATAGGAAGAAGGTGAAAAAAAATTGCAAGTGAAATAAGAATAAGCAATCATAGTGTGTGTGACTGAGATTTTAATATCACTTCATGGTACAAATACATCTTTCAAACACATTATGCTGCTAGAAGAGCAGCTGGTAGCCATGGCCGAAAGGGCCTTTGCACAGCTCCATCTTTTGTGGCAATTGCACCTGTTTCTGGACCAGAAGGCCCTGCTTATGGTCACTCATACCCTGGTGTCAACCCTTTGAGGTAAACCAGATCAGGAAATTCGTATCCCAAGACTATTGGAATTACATTGATGTAAACTATAATAATGGAATCTTGAAAACCTGATAGTATTTCTCTTTCCCTCCTTCCTATATGAAAGGGAGTCAAGGCAGGGCTATCTTGAATTTCTTCCTCACCCTTTTCTGGGCTAAGTTCAAGCCTTTCTAATGGCTGCTACATATCTTCTTCAAGGCTATCTCTGTACTCTTCCATCCTTGGTCACCTCTTGTTTGGACGACTGCAGTGCATTCTACATGGTGCTGCCCTTGAAGATCACTTGGAAGCTGTAATTTGTCCAGAATATAGCACTGTGGGTAGTTACAGGCACACCATGGTATGCTAATGAAACACCACTACTACATGAGCTGCACTGGTTGCCTATAAGCCTCTGAATACAATTCAGATTGCTGGTTGCCATCTATAGAGCCCTTCACGGCACAGGGCTGGGTTATTTGCAGGACTGCTTCTGTCCCACAAGACCTGATAGGTTGGGCATGCTTTGGGTTCCATCTAGGGGGACCCAGGAAATGTGCCTTTTCTGTCACAATGCTTACCCTTTGGGAGCATAGTAAAATCATCATCATTATCATCATCATTAATCATCTCGGCTTACTAGAGTATATTGACCCTGTGGCTTCTATAAAGCTGTACCAATCTGGCTTTTTCCTCAGGCCCTGGGGTAGAATGGAGAGGTCTGCTCCCTGATATAGTTTGGTGGGGAACATGCTTGGGTTGTTCTCTTTCCCAGTGTGTGCTGAGTTGTTTTTGGTGATTTTATTCTGTTAGTTTTTAGCTGTTTCCTCCCTTTTATTAGGAGTCTATTGTAGAAGCTGCCTAAAGTCACTCTATGCAAATATAAATAGCAAATAAATAAACAAACACTGCACCAAGGAAGAAGGGAACAAGGAGCATCCTTTCCTTGTGTGATAAGCACAGGCTTCAAAGGCTTTCAGTCAAGCAACTGATAGGTGGCTTGTGCTACACTCTTGGGAAAAGGAGAATTTCTGGTATGATGGCACTCTCTGGAAACTAGCTAGTCAGCTTTTTGGTATGCTGCCAGAATCTGCAGATGTGGTACCACCTGAGGGATGCCTATGAAATCTCTGAGAATTGAGGCTTTATACTAGCATGTAGTCTGAAAATGCTGCTCTTCATTTGCTGTTTATTAAGCAGGACTCAGCTGCCATAGCTAGGCTGCAAACATTTGAATGGCAGTAGAGACATATGGAAGCCACGAGCCCTCTGCTACCATCTAATGGCCCTCTGGACCTTTGCAGCCCAGATATTTATTTATTTATTTACTTACTTACTTACTTATCAGATTTATATAGCTGGCCATCTCAAGACTGTGACTCTGGGTGGCGTACAGTAAAACAAAGTTTTAAATGACCATTAAAAATAATGAAAATATAAATATAAATAAGACCACAGGAGAATGTGCCACAGTTGCACCCACAATACAGCCATCTTGCAAGCTCCCTGTTTCCATGGGGTCCCCAGGCCTGCTGGCAAAACTACATTTTAAGAGATTTCCAGAAAGTCAATAAGGTTGGGGCTAATCTCACCTTGGGGCAGATGATGTTCCAAAGGGTGGATGCCACGGCAGAAATGGTACGTAGCCTTGCACAACACCTACGTGATGCTTTTTAGTTTATTAACGGCTTCATTCTTTTATTTAAACTCCTGGCTTCTTCTGAGTGGATAAAGTCAGAATCCAGTGCTTGCTAACTGAATTTACTAAGCTATGGATGTTAGCTGCTCCCATCAGTGGGGGGAGCCCCAAGGCACGCCAGTCAATTTGCCACTAAGCAACTTAAAGGCTTAGCAGGATAGGCCTATTGACCCAGAATGATGTCAAACCAGGCTTCCTTTCTTGTTTTAGTGTGCTTTCATTGGAGGTATACTTTTTCTGTAAACATGGCGGTTCTCTTCTGGCAATGCCACTAACAGCCACTACTCAACACTGAACCATTGTGAATTTGCTGAACCACGTTTGCAACTTCCTGAGGCAGGGAATTCCAAGAGTTAATTAGGTGTGGTGTGAAGAAGAGTTTCCTCTTGTTTGTCCTGAGCCAATCACTTTCCTCTCCTGGCCCAGACTCTGCCTGTCTGTGGGAATTTGCAACATTCTGAGTTGTGGCTCTTAAGCTGATGATGATAGAAGCCAGTATTTCCCGAGGCTTAACCAACAGCTTTGGCCTGCCTGAGCCAGACAGGTTACATTTGTTTAGTTTAGGACAAATTTTTATGGTTTTGTCTCCAGCAAGGGAGGCACCATGCATTCCATTGCTTCCTGCAAATATCTCTAGATTCTTTCTCAAGAAGAAATCAGAATTTATGGCTCAAATATACAGTCAGGAGTTATATTGCTCTGGTGGAGGCTATAAATACTGGAAGCATCGTATTTAAACAAAACATGCATTCTTGCAAGCCGACTTTGCAAATATTCTGCCTTTGGAGGGAAGGCATCTTCTTCCTTCTAGGGATATTGGCTTTTGGTCTTGGACATTTATTTATTCTTTTCAGGCATTTCTAAGCCATAATGTAAGTTTTTCTTTCAACAAGAATAAAAACAAGTCCAAACAATGTGCCATAAAATAGATCAACAAGAAAAGCTGCTACATTCAATCATTCAGGTGGCTTTTCCCTTCTACCAAAGGCAGAAAAAGAGACTTTTCCAATGCTGTGTGAATGGCCACCTACAAGCAATATGAAGACTATGAACGGCCATGATGGATCAGAACATTAAAATACAGTTTCCCCAGGAAGGTTCATCAATTGGGCAGGGACAGGAGAGATACATTATTCAAATCATGCATAGTATAGAAAAGGTAGATAGTTTTTTTCTCATTGTTTCACAACTTTAGAACTTTGGGTCATCCACTGAAGTTAAATGCAGAGAGATTCAAAAGCAATGCTTCATACAGTGGTTAAGTGTGGACTTTTTTGTCATCCATTGTAGTGGAGGCACCAATTTAGATGAGCTTTAAGAGGAACTACACCGATTCACAAAGAATCTGGCTGTCAACAACTACTAGTCTTGATGACTGTATGCTACTTTCCAAATCACTAGGTGATCTAAACTACAAGGTGCTAGGGAGCAAGAGTGAAAAAGGGCTGTCACTCTTTATTCCATGTTTGTGATCTCCCTGAAAGCATCTGGTTGGCCACTGTGTGACACAGAATGCTGGCTTAGAGAGGCACTTGGCCTGATCTAGCCATGCTCTTCTTTCATTTGAATAATCCTCTCATTACAAAAAGTGGCTCCTGACTGTCACAGAATAAGATCATTCAAAGTATGGATGGTGAATGTTGATTCTTTGGCTATTAAAACATGGGAACTGAACACATGGCAGTAGAGAAGAACTCACCTGTTTATCTCAGTTCCTTGCAGCTAAATGCTGATGGATACTCCTCTTTGTGAGGGAAAAGGAGGCAACATGTTGGCATGATGGTGTGCTCAACTGTGTTGTGTGTATGTTGTGGTATGATAAAGTCAAGGTTACTGTAGATTTTAAAAATCATTATGTTAGACCTGCCATATTGAGAATATGGAATAGATTGTGCCCAAAAACACCTTTATGGCTCTCAGCACAAGAAGCATTTTATAGACGAGAAATAACAGTTAAATGGTTAATGTATCGTGAGATATTAGAATTTTATCAAGTGGAATATAAAATAAAATCAAGAGAACAACTGTTAACAGAGGGATATAGTTGTCAATGGTTTTCTTATTTACAGTTATCAGAAAGATTTAAAGTAGAAAAAGAATTTATGGTATTGGACAATATAAGACAGAATTTGAAATGGAATTGTGTGTGAATGATGAACATATAATTACTAAAAGGTATAAACTTTTATTGAAATTTGAAACAGAAGAAGAACAGGTCAAAGAATGTATGATAAAG